AAAAACAATCGAAAAAAGAAAAGGAAATTTCTCAGCTCCCATTCATCCATTGTAATAGACTAAAAGGAAATAATAAAATATGAAATTGAAAAATTACGACATTATATAATATAAATACGAACCATAATCATTTGATTAGCACGTTCAGATAAATCATCAGCTTGTGTTGCGCTACTACTACTCGCCATACGATTCATGGCCTTATTGGTTGGTTCTAAATTAAAAAAAGAAACACAAAACTTAAGTCTTCTTGGAGAATTTTGATTTACCAAGTGCTGGTAAATTGACATCATCTTGAAAAAGATTAACAAATCCTTCCTAATAAAAATAAAAAATAATAATTTGTTTTTTCAATTTAAATTTCTATACTTTGATAAGAAAAGATATATGAAACATATTTTCTACAGTTTTTGCAAATGATTTTGGATCAATAACAAATTCAAAATAATCTATTGGGCTTGAATCTACTGCCTTGTAACGTTCAACAAGACAACGTTTTATATGCATTATTTGTTTTATTGTTTGTTCACCAAGTTCAGAATTAAATTCTTTTACCTAAATAAAAATATTTATTGAGAATTTTATTAACAAGGAAAAGAAATTAAGAATTCTTATGGTATTTTAATGAAGAAAAGAATCCATAACTTCTTAGCATCCGAAGATAAATGTGCTTTGCTCGCAATACAATCTTTGATAGATTTTCTTATCCATTAGTATCAATCATTATGTCAGAGATGTGTATCGAACGCAGGAAAAGAGGCGGAACAGGCATGAAGAACGGCAACAACCTTAAGATAACAGCGGAGATAATCACTTGGCGGCCACGCCTACAAGAACTGGCGAAATTTTTTTCATATTTGCGGCATTATAGTATTCCGTAAGAAATGGTGTTTCCTTTCTTTTTTGAACATTCGCGTATGAACAATAATATAAAGTTGAAAATACCATGAAAGAATACTTAGTTAGGCAAGATATTACTTGACATAGATATATACTTATAGAGTGCTTATTTCCATTTTAACCTATTTTATAATTAAGTTTGCACAAATTTACATTTAAGGCCAGTTAGAATATTATGCTCGTCACGATGGAATTCACTAGCGTAAGCTTTTTGCTTCCGATGTGCTTTATAAGTTTAACGAATGAATATCATAATGAAGTAATCAAACAAATGATATAATAAAATTTATGAGCCTGAACAATAAAGACGCAGTCGCCAAGAAATAAATCATACTTACTGTTAGAGCACCGGCGGTACACATCTCTGTTCTATACGCCATTCGCAATAGATTAATATTTTATTGTAATATTTAAGATATGAATAGTAACATGGAATAGAACGTTTATTTATCGTGATTTTTTCAACTTAGTCCTATAACTATTAGTCATTATTTCTATCGAATAGTTTCTGCAACGAAAGCAAAACGTTGGCATATTTCTTTATTTCAAAATCATCTTATCTTTTTTATAAGACTAGAAAAAGTCGAATACGCAAAATAAAATTCAAAAAACTTCTTGATCAAACTTTTTGTATACTCTGCACCTTGACTGACGAGAGAAGTAATTCAATTGATTAATTGGTTTTGACTTCGGACTATGTGCATCATGTAGAACTAAATAAATTTCGATTTAAAACTTTTCATAGAGACAGATCTTAACGAAAGTAGTTTATTGCCAAAATTTCAGGTCTTTTGATTTGCTTCTATCTCGAAATAAGAATATCGAATCTACAAGGTATTCATAGCTCATTTCGATGTATATAATCCATATAGTCTCGATTCAAAAGTAATCTATAAGTTGGAAGACGTCTCACATGAGACGAAATTTTCTAACTTTTATCCTTCTCTAATCATAGCTACTAAGTCAAATATTTACTAGAAGAAAAACTTGATTAACTCTATTCTGTAGAATTTTATCTCTGAATATCGTTATATCCAATTAGGAAAGAGACAAAAGATGTTAATTCGAATGTAATTTTCATAAAAATACTTACTTCTTCGGGTCGTGTACGTGATTTTTCTAATTCTTCTTGTGTTAATTTTTGTTGTCGAACAGGTTTTGCACGTTGTTTTTGTTTTTCTTGATATTCATTAGTAAATAATTTTGTTGGTAAACGACCATTCCTTAATAGATGAATGAAGTCAAAAATAAGGAAAATTATCTTAGATATATTTACATCATAGAACATGATGGAACAATTTGATGAAAATTTCCAAATATTTCATAGAATTCATTTGCACTACCAACTAATTTCGATAGAATTTTTTCGCATTTTCGTGCAAAATCATATGCACGATCTAAACTTCCAGCTTCATCAACAGCACGAATTCGAACACTAGCTAAATTTGATATAGTACGTAATGTCGAAGCATCAAGTACACCTTCACGAGGCATTTTAACTAAAATTTAAAAAACGAAAAAAAAAAATTTGTTTTAATAAATTTTCTTCCATCAATTTTTACCTTTAGCAAATGCTTGATCAACTTGATCAATTTTTTTTTCTAATTCATCATTATCTGGTGTTGTATATAATTGTCGATTAGCTAGAAAAATGATAAAAATGAATTCAAAAATTCAATCATCTATTCATTTACTATTAAGATCATCAATAAGTTGACGATAATCTAAACGAACTCTTAGACGCATTTCAGCATCATCATCTGTAATCATCATCTAAATATTAAACGATTATGTACATAAGATTTATTTGACTGAAATCTATATACTTGACTACGCTGTTGTGTTTGACTTCTGTAACCATCATCATCATTATCTTCTTGTCGTTGTTTTTGCTATAAACGAAATAATGTGATAAGGTCGATTATAATAAAGAATCTTTTTACTTTCTTTTTTTCTGTTAATTTATTATTGACCATAGCTAATATATTTAATAAATCTGAAAATAAAGAACGAAATGTAATCTTTTTCGGAGGGTTGACAACGACAAATTTTTTTTTTCAATTTATCAAAAAACAAATTCATTGCATACTCCAATCAAGCGAAAATGAAAATAGGTGTCACTGGATGATGAAATCTTTCATACGTATCGAAAATATAATCAAACTGATTTTCATTGTTCTCTTAGAATGAAGCTTATCAAAATAAAGAATAGGATAAATGTACGCAATAGCGCTGTTCTTTGCACCACGTCCTTTTGTACGTGATGTTTTTCGTTCTCTTTACAGGATAGAGAATTTTTTTCTTTTCTCATAGTAATGTAATCGATTTGTACTGAAGCCTATCTTAATATAGCAGCTTAAGTAGATAGTGGTTAGAAACAGTTACCCCATACCATAAGTTTTATCTCATGTCATCAATTATTATACGTCAGAGATGTTTATCACGACTAAAAATTTGCCGACACCGAACTGCTTCCATTGTGCCCGTAGAAAAGATTTTAATTATAATCAAAACATTTTTCACTGGAATGGTTTTTAAAAGAAAATCGTTATGATTGTATTGAAACAGAACTGTTGTTTTCATTCATTGATAAAAATTTGTACGTGTAAACATTGAAATTCTGTACAAACTTATGTATTTTTGCAATCTTCTCCGAATCAAAAAATAAGTTCCTGCTTCCAAGTTGCCATCGCTACGACAATAGACATAATTTTTTTACACTTCAAAAAATAGCGTCTATGTGTTGGACAATTCTGTCTTGGATGTCAGCAACTACGCAATGAACGAAAGCCTGACGAAACATTCAAGATATTTTACATACATCTCATCAATCTGCTTAACTTTATAGTAAGTAGCACAAAAATGTGAACTGAATATCATTATCATTAGTTTTATGTCCACCAGTGATGATATAATGAACAAAAACTTGCGAGCAACAAGTGAGTATGAACATCATCATCAAAGTTAGTGTTTTTATCGGATATCTCCATTGTCACATTGTATAATCACACCTGAAACAGTTTTAATGGATATAAACAAGGTGGACTGATATCATTTTATAAGTTATCACCTACTAGTAAAAATCTAAAATGTTTTTCTCATTGTTGGAGTAGCAAAAATAATAATCGACTCTTCAGAGTGAATTTACTAGTGACAACGACAAAGATCTTTGCACACTTACAAAAATGCATAAGAGAAGAAACTTTTTTCGACTCGATAGAATAGTACAGACTAGATCAACTACTACTTCAAATAGGCCAGTCAGATAAAATCCAACAAGTCATCGAGTTTATGCTGGAACAGATTACTAAAATAAGAGTAATATAAAAAGACTTGTTTACTCTTAAATCGGATGTACCAAGTAGATCTAAAATCTATCGAAAAAGTTCCTTGACATTATCTGGATTTAGCTTCATCTTACAGCTATATAGATGGAATGTGTCGCAACAAGAACAAGAACTCGAATTTCCTTTCATGTTTTGAACTTGCTGTGGATATTAGTCGATATTTATTATGTCACATCACAGTATTCTTCGACTTGACAAAAAGAACTTGGTCAAGACGTACAGAGAAGATTGTAAATAATATTTGTTTGTCAAAAAAGTCGATATCACAAACCGAGTCTTTGGAAAATACATATAAAAATAGTGAAGAAAATAATTCAATTACTCTAGAGATAAAATTTGATTTCTATTTTAATATCGAAATAGAATATTTATTTATTGTATTGTCGTACGATTACCCGTTTCGTTTTGTTGAACTAACCATAAATATCTGAAACTGGTCAGATCATTTTCAAACTTGAACGTTAAGCTAGAGTTCGAGTTCGACGCATCCCTACGTTGAACAAACAAAACAGTCGAAATATCGTTCACACAATCATTCTTAGTCATTCTGAGAATTGTTCTATATTGAATAAATCGATTAGTCTCAACTGTCAATGTATTCTGAACATATTTAAGTACGTATACGATATCTAAACACTAGTCAATTGTTCATTTTATTCTTACACAAATGACAAGTGTAGTTCGAATGGAAGATAGTTTAAGGATTATNCTGAAATTGGTCAGATCATTTTCGAACTTGAACATTAAGCTAGAGTTCGAGTTCGGCGCATGCCTATGTTGAACAAACAAAACAGTTAAAATATCGTTCGCACGATCATCCTCAGTCATTTTGAGAATTGTTCTATATTGAACAAATCGATTAGTCTCAACTGTCAATGTATTCTGAACATATTTAAGTACGTATACGATATCTAAACACTAGTCAATTGTTCATTTTATTCTTACACAAACGACAAGTGTAGTTCGAATGGAAGATAGTTTAAGGATTATACGCTATGTAAATTCCAAACTTTAACAAGAATGCATTTTGATGCGTCTATATTTTTCGAATCCTTTACATTCCAATTGAAGAATTCTATGTCTTGTGTTCTTACATTGCTATGAAAATTCTATTCAAATAAATAGTTTAGAAAAACAATATTGACATTGGAAAAATAAAAGAAACACTATCGCTTTTTTTGAACGACATGTGACATAATTATAGATCATTGTTTAATGACAAAAAAACGAGTTAACTTTATTTTTCCCCCGTCCTGTTGTGACTCATGTCATAAACCATCATACCATTCTTGAAAATATACAAGCACGCAAACATCACCTAGTGCGTTCATTCAATTTGAAGAAGAAGAAAAAACGACATGAATGAAAAATATCCATCAAGATTTATAGAAAAATATACAAGAAAAATAGCTTGTCTTATTGATTGTGTTGATGGTATAAATATTCGGAGTTTATTTCCTCGATTTTTCGATAATTTTCCATCGAATAGTGATATTTTTATTTTTTATCATAATAATCAATCTAGAATAAATCGTCATTTAAAACGATTGACATCGAATAATCATGGTATTTATTTTATTCCAACATCCGAAGATACTATTGCTATAAATTTTTCATTTAAACTTGGTCAAATTAATAATAAATATAATGATTTTATTCTTATTTCCCATTATAATCGAATTTATGAAGATATTTGTCAAAGATTAATTGAAACAAATATACAATTAAAAAATCATATTCAATTTCGTTGTTTTGATCATTTAAATGAATTTATACAATTTTTAAATGAATTGACTAATTTAAAAAATGAAAATAAAGAAGAAAATCAAATAGAATTTATTATTATTCATTATTCGAAAGAAAAACTTTTTCATTCTTGTCCATTTGAAACAGAACAACAATCTTCATATTTATATCGTTTTGGTCAATTACTTCATCATCTTGATACTGAACATTCACATATTCATTATGAATATTGTACAGAATGTGAAAAAATGATTGAAAATAGCAATTCATTAGATAAAAATATATTTGAAAAACATTTACAAAATGAACATTGGAAACAAAATAAAGGATTTCAATTATTCATATGGCCATCACAATGATATTATTCAATAGAATTAAAATTAAACATTTTTTTTTTACTGAAGTCATCAGTTTTTTCGATTGATATTGTATAAATGTTAGATAGATATCTAAATACAGAACAATATAAAACTACTTAAATGTTATTATTAATTTTATCTATTATTTAAAATCTCACAGAAAGAAAACTGTAAAACCATAGCAATACAGCATTCAGATGCTGTCGCTATTAATGTTTGAGCTTTGATATTAGTAATCATTTTTGAGTATGCTATTTGACAATAATATATTATTGAATTACTTATTCATCAACATACAATTATTACATGTTGAATCAGAATAGTTAAAAACACATGTGCACCCAATCAGAATCGATAAAAGACAGTTAATAGCAGATTGCAAAAGAAAATTGCTTCAATCATAAATAGGCAACATTGTTTTGAATTAACTAGTAGAGATACAATTCAGACAACATCTTATTAACATGGTAAATGATTGTCTTAAAGAAACTACTAACTATTCATAATCTTGAATAATTAGGATTTATGTAAAAATTTTGTCTCTTTCGTTTTTTTTTTGCTTTAGATAGACCGAGTAATATTTTAATGAATATTCAAAAGACAACTACTGATACTAATGCAAGGAAGCGATCTGACATATATGTATATTACTCTAATAGAAGGACATTATTACTCATGTCCTTGTTAACATAATGTACATGATTTGTATTCTTGTGATTCATCATTTTTGATTTTATCTTTCTTTACTTTGTGATTGCTATCTATATATATATATTTATTTTATTAATTGATTCAAACTGTCCATTGATTGACAGAAATCAATATTTTGTATTTACTTATGTTTTTTTTTTTTGCTTTTAGAATTCAAATGAACAAGGATTTTTTAGATTCTATTCAATTAAAACGAGATGAATATATTCAAAGAACAGATATTTATTTTATATATCCTTATGATAAAAAAATAATGATGCCAAATAATTAAACATTTATTCAATGATACGAATTGGCCTTATTAATTAAGATAGTAATGAATTACATGGTAAACGATTGTTGATCAATAGAAATATAACAATATGGTAAATTTAATCTATAATATAAAAGAGAATAATAGTATTAATCAAATATCTGTAATGAAGAATAGAAAAGTGAAGGATTTTGAATATAAATAAACAAATTATTTATAGACAATACATTCACGTATTTCTCAATTACTTAAGATAAAGAATTAAATTTAAGTTAAAGTTTATCTTTTTGTTTTGTTATAACAGATAGACTACTGTTTGAAACATGAAAAGATACAAAAAAACAAAACAAAAAGAATCCTTGAAATTACGTCTTCAGTAGACAACAATAATTTTTTTTCTTATCTAAACTACAAACAAATGGCATTTATCAAATAAAGAAAAATTCCCTGAGAATATTACTCATTTTTACCTTTTCTTTTTTTTATTAATTTCATCATATTTACGTTATTAAACCAAATGTCATGTTTGTTTGTATGAAACTATAGCAGATTTCACTTACTTTCTATGTAAATTATCAAAGTCAATAAAAAAATTATTGTTGTCTACTGAAGACGTAATTTCAAGGATTCTTTTTGTTTTNAAAAATATATATTTTTTTTTTAAAAAAAAAAAAAAAAAAAAAAAAAAAAAAAAAAAAAAAAACAAAACAAAAGAAAAGAAACGATAGTATTTAATCATTTATAAACAAAACAATAACTCGCTTTAAAAAAAAAAAGAAGTTAGAATGATATGTGTGAAAGATGCAATATTTCGATTTTCGTAGATAAGAAAATATTTGATATAGGCGTTTACGTATCTGAGTTAACACATCGATTCATGACATGTTTGTCCTATTTCTATGAAGAGAACCATAATTATTTGCAATTGTTTTGTTTTTGAATAATATACTAACCATGTCGAAATGATTCAAGCTGAGATGGAAGACGAACTGATAAAGGACGATTATTTCGAACAAAAGCTAATTCTGCATTGAGTTGAGAATTTTCCGTCTAAGAAAAATAGAGTAATACAAATTGAATTTTTATTAGTTTTTATGTTCTTACTTCAAGAGCATTAAAAGCTAAATGAAGTTGTTCAATATCAGTTTGTAATTGTCCAAGAAGTTTTGATTGATGTTGTCGATTTTGTAATTCTTTTTCAAGTTCAATTAATTTTTGTTGTAAAATTTCACGTCGACGACATTCTCGTTCGTATTTTGTCTTCAATTAAAAAAGAAAAAAAATTCTTTTTTTTTTCTGTTTCATATTAAGATAAATATATCCTTGTACTACTAACCTTCCATTGCGATTCTTGTTGTTCGATGTCCTTCAATTGTTGTTCCAGTTCATCGATTTTTGTCTGTTTACTATTTAGTACTTGAATAAGTTCACTTGTGACAAGGTTTTGTTCGTCATTTTTCTTTTTTAATGTTGTATCATCGTCACGTGTTGGAATCATATCCTTAGTAGAAGTCTATGGAAATAGCAACAAAAAAGAAACGATTTAATTGTCGTTTTATTTTCAAAGAATGACTTACTAATCCGGCAGCTGTAAGATAATTATCATGTAGAGCTGCATCTATTTGTGTACGAAGTGCATCAACCTAAGCAAAAGTTCTTGATCTTTTGTGACATATATATTAAAATTTGTAACATACTTTTCGTCTCATTCGTCGATAGCGAAGACTACCATTTGGATCTGATGTTGTAGCTCGACTACTAGCGGATTTACTTCGTGTATGAATTTGTTTCTCATTTGAATACTCATTTGATAATTCAGTGAGTTTGCGTCGAAGACGAACTGCTGATGGTTCGTTCTCCATGACCATATTCTATGAAAAAAAAAATTACTATGTCATGTAATTTATAATAGAAGAAATCGAAGGCTAGATAGTGAATGGCAAGCAAACCAATGACTGTTAAGACAAGATACAACTAGAGACATCTTTAGTTTTTTGCATCAGCAATGTCATAGTATAAAATTTGCGAAAAAGATTGAAGGGTACCGCAATTTTCGAATTATATGAAAGATTGATCATATGTTGGATTGATAAAGATTGTCATGACTACAATAGTTGTCAAGATGATGTTCTATGAAACCATGGCAAGAAGTTTAATCATCAGCACATGAGATTATGATTAAATTTCATGCTAAAAGCGATTAGGGATCTATAAAGTCACTTTTTTTTCGCCCTCGATTACGGTCAGGGATGTTCCACGGACACTAGAATAAGGAGAAGATCGGGATATCCTTGATTACGACAATCGTAAACGGTCACATACAATCATGTAGAGTTGAGCACAGTGTAAACTACGATTTTTACGAAGGGATCGAATCAATTTTACATATGAGCCATTCCGCATAAGCCACGACCGACCCTGCTCAACCGAGGTCGTCAGATTTTGCTGAATTTAAGTTATATTGTAGAGGGAAGAGTTCTAAGAATTTTGACACAAATTCATACACGAAGTAAATCCGCTAGTAGTC